GTTGGTTGGTTGGTTGGTTGGTTGGTTGGTTGGTTGGTTGGTTGGTTTTTCAAGATAGGGTTTCTCTGTGTTGCCTTGGCTGTACTGGATTCACTTTGTAGACCAGGCTGGCCTCTAACTCACAGCAACCTGCCTGCCTCTGTCTCTGCCTCCCCGAGTGCTAGGATTACAGGTGTGTGCCACCATGCCCATGCCCGGCGTATCCCAGTTTCTTGAAAATGAGCTGTTTCCTTAGAGAGTGAGACTCAGGGCATCTCATTTTAAAGGGCACACTGGAACATTCATGGAACAAGAGAACAGGCAAAAAAAAAAAACAAAAAAACAAAAAAAACCACCAACACAAGTCTGAGAACAGGGAGCATAACGGCGGGGCTTGAAATCCAGACTGCCAAGCTTATTACAGTAACCAAGTTTGGAAGAAAGAAAGGAAAGGGAGAAATGTAACTATCTTGTAATTTCAAAATTAAAGTTTTTAAAGTATGCTTTCAAATAAGGGCAGTTTATTCACACATTAAATAAAAATGTACACAAAATTCTCTTACACTATATACATCTTAGGATGTGATCTGAAGTCATATAAACTACTCACAATTTAATGTCTCCTAGAATATTTTTTGATTGTGCTGATCCAAGTAAACAGGCTGGAATGTTGGACATTCTAAAAGAGACAAATGCTCCACATCAATACACATAACACAGATACTAACTTGGCCCTGTAAGACCAACACTTGCAAGGCAAAAGGACAGAGAGACACCATCCTGGACTATAAACTGCAAGACCCTAGATAAAAAAATAAAAATAAAGATCAAGTCATGTCCCCAAACATAATCCTATCATTTATGTTTATCATCTGATATTTCATTTACAGAACAAACAGAGGGGGACAACTGGGCAAAGGAGCACTGGACTGAGAGAGAAGATGACAGCTTGGCCTCTCTAGTAAGATCCTGTCTTAAAGTGTTCTTTCTTGCTTGCTTATCAAAGGCAATGATGTAAAGGTAAAACTATTACTTACTCAAGCTGAAGAACCTGGTCTTCCATTAAGGAAATGAGAGGCGAAATAACAATTCCAATTTTGCCTGCATAAATAGGTGGATACTGGAAGCACAAACTCTTCCCATATCCTTGAATAAAAATAATACACAGAAAATAAAAATAAACTTTTGGTGTTTTACTTTCTTCTTACAATGTGCTTATATAGCAGAATAAATATCCTTGTAAGGTAATTCATACATTAATTTGAAATCTTTTTTTTCTGTTAACTCTCTCCTATATTTTAAGTTTGTGAAAGATTAAGCACTTTAAACCTTAATGATTTTTAAATGATTAAATTATTTACTTTAAGTATAACTTACCAGTTGCCATGACAACAACATTATCTCTTCTTTCTTCTAATACAGAATGAATGACTTTCCACTGAACCCTTGAAGGTAAAAAGTAAAATCTTTTGTCACAATCCAATGTACAAGTTCAAACTTATTTAACTTCTGCTCCCCAATAAACTCTTCTGACTTTTTTGAGCTTTCTCTATAAATATACGCAAGTCCCAGATTTTTGAGACACTATTTGATCAACCTCTCCTTCAGACTGCCTGACCAACTAGGAGTTTCCATATGATGCGTGTATTAAATATTATCTGAAGTATAAAGTAAATCTCCAGCTTCAAACTATAGAGCCAAAATAATTACTATTTTAAAATAAAGAAGAGGAATGTCTTGGGTTTGAAATGAGAGATCTGTGTCAAGTGATGGTCCAAAGGAAAATCAGCTGGAAATGAGATCCTCTGCTTATGCAGACAACAATTATTCTTCTTTGAGTGTTTTCTCTAACAACAGCATGCTGAGTTAACAAAATGTATTTCTCTATACATCTATGTGTGTTCTCCTGAACATGGACTATATTATTTTAGTTTTTTTACAAATTAAATTAAAAGAAAGAAGAAAATGCTTCAATGAATTCTGTTTTAAATTCTCAAAACTGGGAAAGCCCAGTCAAGATTTTTACTTTCTTACTGGTCTTATTCAAATTTACCTGTTCCTAATCTCATTTTTGTTCATTTCATTTTTTCTACTTGTTAGTGTGTCCTTGTTTGAATGGTCTGAACAAAAATGACCCCTATAAGCTCATAAAGAGTGGCATTATCTGAAAGGATTAGGATGTGTGGCTTTGTTGAACTAGGTGTGGCCTTGTTGGAGGAAATGTGTCAGCAAGGGCAGGCTTTTAGCTTCCAGAAGCTCAAGCCAGAACCAGTGGCTCACTCCCTCCTCCTGCTGACTGCCAATCCAGATGAAGAACTCTCAGCTCCTTCTCTAGCACCATATATGCCTCCATGCTGCCATGCTTCCTTCTGTGACGATAATGGACTAAACCTCTGAACCTGTATTCCAGCCCATTAAATGTCTTCCTTTATAAGAGTTGCCATGGTCATGATGTCTCTTCAAAGCAGTGAAAGCCTAGCTAAGACAGCCCTTTAGATGTAACTATATTTTACTTGTTAAAGCAGTAAAACATGTTTTTTTAGCCACTTATGACAGTGTGCCTTGGGAGACCTGCTCAAAGCAAGCAGGGATGCTTGTTTCCTCTGATTTCATACTTAACGAAAGGCAAATCAGCAACAAGAAAAAATTCTTTTTTTATTATGTAGTTTCTACATAGAACCATCCAGCTAAAGAAAAAAACATAAAGAAACCCTTCTTTTCTTACTAAAAGAACAAAGAAATTTATATACTACTTCAAATAATTTTGCAGTTACATAGGATATACATTTGACATATATGACTACAGTAAAATTATACTGCTACTGTTACATGAATGGATTATTTTTTTCTTTGTTAAAAAAATAATTTAAGCACATACTTAATTAACTGAGATCACACTCACGGTTTAAAACTGCAATGGCCGAAAAAGGTCTTGAGGAAATTAATTTGCTTTGCACTGGGTTCCGGCAATAAATGGTCTTGAAAATAAATAAAATAATAAAATTGATATTTATGTTCAAAAAGAAGTATACATGTAAGAGGAAAATTTCATTTTGTTGGCTTTCATTAAAAAGAAAAACAAAACAGTGATGGGTAGCATGTTAGCTTTCTGTTCTAACCAAATTGGATCCTCTAGGTAGCTATCAGGACACCAGGTGAATCCTGTGCTCACTGCTAAAGCAGTAGAACTGTGGGAGCGCTTTTACAAGTTACCAACACTGACAAAAAGAGGCCCAGCATTCTGTAATTAGGTACACTTGCAGGATCTAACATCTAGAACAAACCAAACCAAAGCAAACACCAGAAATGCTAAAATAAGTTGCCTACTAGAAGCAAGTTTTAATTAATGATAAACATAAATTATATTAGTATCCCAAATTAAGTATATAGAAAAAAAATAAAATCTTTGGTTGTTTAAAACTAAATCTACTTATGTAAATTCATTTACCTTTATCTGATTTAGTTATCTATCCAATTTAGTTAGGTAAATGCAGTTACCTAAATCTTTAGCCAAAAATTTTAATGGCAGCACACTGTGGCCTCTGCCACAGTGCATACCACTGTCCATCCTTAGATGCAAGGGCTCACAACAGCCAAGAAAGGACAAAACACAGATTCTAGATAAGCTGTCATTAAGCTTGAAAAATAAGTTTTATCTTACACCTTAACACTTCTAAAAAAAAAAAAAATCAAACAGATGGCTGCACTTAATAAAAGAAAGCAGAGGAAAATATTTTATCAATATGCTTATAAATACCTTCCACCTACAAAATGTTTTGAAATTTCTACATTTTCCCATAACAAAACAGTGTCAGCACAGTGTAAGCTCTACTTCTGGAGAAGACTCTGCAAGCTGACAAGATGACTATGATTATTTATCCTGAGATGATAAGTCTATCATTTACACACTCATGTACTATATTCTTTGTGAAAAGAAAGTGCTCTGGTGTGGTGCCAGTCTAAACCACAAGCTCCTGGGGAGCAGACCACATATATTCGTGTCATTTACATTTAATATAAGCAATTATTAAACTATTTTACCACAGTTACTGAGACCCAAACCAAATCTTTAACTTAAGGATGAAAGGTTTCAGTTGCCACATTTCCTGAGAGGCAAGAGCACTATGGGATTAAATGCCTGGTTTATAGACCTGAGAAGTAAGTATATGCCACCTACTCATTAAACTCCACAACACTGGAAGACTGGCCCAAAATCAAAGTCAGTGAAAGGTGAGTAGTTTCCAACCTATTTCTTACCCTCTTCTTCCTGCTCCTCTTCAGTGGCTTCATTTCCATCTCCATCTCCCTCCTCAGAAGGAAGACTCACGTTGCTTTCCATTTCCAACCATTTAGAATGAGTTGGTTTCACCGCATCATTATTTAGGTTTTCTAAAGACTGAAAGCGTAAAAGAAATTTTAAAGCAAAACACTGACAATATGGTATCTTTTCACCAAGCACAAAAAAGAGTGTTATTAACAAAGCCTACAATTTGGTTGAAAGCTGGCAGATGTGCAAGCAACTACACAAAAGAACATGTGTGCTCCTCTATAAATAAGTGCTGGAGAATGGCTTCAAGGCATGAGGCCAGGATGGAACTTGGCCAGCATAAACAAGGTTCATTAATAGCATGTAATGAACTGCCTCTAGGAAATCTATCATAAATTTTAAATTTGCATAATTTAAACAATTTTCCTTATTGGGCTTCAATGTTTTAGATTTCCAACTGGTAAAATACAAATTTTAATGCTATTTTTATGTTTCTCTATATTGGATGTCAGTTGAATTTTTTATGGCTAAAGATGATGCTTAAATTATGAGCAATCAATAAATGTGTTTCAGAATTATAAAAAAAATTCAAATAATTTTAAGAAAGTATTACTTATGTGAAATAAGTTCTTTTTTTTACATTATACATTTTCTCCCCTACTTAAAAAATATTAGTATATTTCAAATTGCTTAATCTATAAAACTTTTTACTAAGGAATGACATGGAAGATTCATTTAAGCAAAGTTCTTCACTTCTAGTTTTTACTTTGGCTTTAAGAAGTCTTTAAAAGTATGAGACTTTAATCCTATAAAAAAGAAAATGAAAATAATAAGTGATTCTGTTTAACTTTACCAATATATTCAGAGAGCAGAGACAGTCAAAGTACAATGTATGTTCCAGATGTCCACAAGTATCCTATACCACTTGAACAGAATGCACCAGAGAAACACTAACCTTTGCTGGTTAGTAAAGGCATTGTGAGTTAGCTCCTAGTTCTTAAATAGGAGTCAGGCTCTGTGATAAACCCTGCTGTGAGTAATGGGCATCAATGGGAAAATAAGAATTCAAATCTATAAGTAAAGAATGCACATCCTTATTATTTCTGTGACTGCCACTACTAGGATTCAAAACCGAAGAACTAGAAAATTACTCTCCTTTCATAAAAGGAAAAAAAAAAATCACACTAACGTAAAGTTGATAGATTGAAAAATAGATACAAAAGAATACTTCTATTTCTTTTCATTTTTCACTTGATTTAACTAAACTGTGTTTCTCCCGTTTCTCCTAGTCTGGTTTTTCCTGTTCATATATGATTCATGACACTTGATAAACTGGCGGTTAAGTGAAGGGATAGAAAATGCATATTTATACCTTATCTTTGATAACATAACAGAGTAAACAAGCATTATAAAATTACATGTGATCAGTATTTAAAAACCACAGTAAGAAAAACCAGAGACTACAAATGATTGAATTGGTAAAAATGGAATATCTAAAATATGCCATGAAGAATGAGAAATCAATGTCATATTAAAGTGCTTAGTCACTGCCCACATTTCATTCCAGAGAGAGATACAAAAAAACACAACATATATGAGAACTCACGATATTATACCTAAGACTACTTATATATTAAGAAAAGTAAACTGAAAACTTTAAGTCTAACATTATATAATGGGTATGAATTGCATTGTGGTGGCATCTGATTGAGCACTGAATAATGTTTTAGTTATTTAAGTGTTCTTATATTCTTGAAGTAACTCTTTGAAGTTCAAACATACCTTAAGCATCTCCATTTCTAAATCTTCATCACTTTCAATTATATAAGAGGAATCGTTTCCATCATCATTGAAAGATAAATGCTTTTAAAAAAAAGAGAGTATTTCAAAGATTAACTTCCTGATTAATTGATTCTATGCTCTGTGTTGTTTTCACTAGACACATTTAGACATCTTCCTCTCCTTTAATAGACAAATGTATAAAGCTTGTTTGTTTGGTGGGTGGGTGGGTGGCTGGCTGGCTGGTTTGGGTTTTTTTGTTTTGTTTTGTTTTTTGAGACAGGGTTTCTCTGTGTAACCTTGGCTGTTCTGGACTCGCTTTGTAGACCAGGCTGGCCTCAAAGAGATCCACTTGCCTCTGCCTCCAGAGGGCTGGGATTAAAGGCATGTACCATTATGTCTGGCATACAAAGCATGTTTATGTATTTACAGAGTGAGTAGACAGAATGGTTTTTTAAACATAATCAAAGAGAAATAACATACTTTAAAAGATAGGCAAGTTAGATAAACAGATTTGAAATAAGATCTACATTCAAAAGAAAAACAAAAGTTTAAGTTCTAAGGTCAATCAATGTCAAACCAAGTCTCTCCAACTTTCAAATACATGAAATTCTATACAATGTTAAAAAAAATCTATACAAAGAAAAGTAATTGTTCTTTTATATATATTGACTTAAAAATAGCAAAGAGTAATAATATGTAATTATATTATCTTTAAATAAATCAGTATTTTACAAATAATATCTATTTGAAAAAGTACTAGATGTATTATTTACTTGATCTCTTGCTGGTGTTTGGATATGAAAAATCTTTACAAAATTTAGCAATCCCAAGAAATCAGGTACCTAACAAAATATGAATCCCCCCTCTCTCACACAACACATATACACATAGATACACACACACATACACAAACACAAAAAAAAATCAAGAAGAAATATGAATAAATAACTCCCCAAATGCTGAATACTTAATTTGTAAAGGAAAAATAGCTTTAATTAACATGCTTAATTTGAAGCTATCAAAATATATTAAAATATATTTTTTTAACTAAGAAAGGTTTTGTTGCTTTCTAAATGGGGTCTTAAACAAATAATGAAAATAATGCTAGTAATCATTATATAATAAAACAACAATAACTGGTATAAAAGATGTCAGTTAAATCAAAATCATGATCCTACTGTTCTATTATATAAGAAATATTAGAGTGCATATCTAATGAGAGATTTCTACATAATTAGAGTAATGTCCATGTCAGCACAAAACAGCATTCTCTAAAGAGAGAGTATGGTTTACAAATGGTTGGAATGAGAATATTTTGAAATTTTTAAAACAACATACGTTTGCTAAAGAGAAACATAAAAATAAAAATCAAGGAATATATATATGACTGAGGTTCCATTTCTATAATAAAATTGGAAGAAATATACAATCTTTTCAAAATCTAAAATAAAATTTGTTATTGCAAAAAAAAAAAAAATGTGAAAAGCCCAGAAACAATGAGTGTCTTCAGTAATTTGCAAGCTAGTGAAAATCAGAAGGAAACAAGAGCTCACTGGCTCTCTGGGTGACAGTACAGACTCCTGTAAGGCACATCCTTTTACCCTAGCAAATAACTTCTACTTAAAGTAATATAACCTATTCCCCAAATCAAGTTAGATGAGTCAACACTCAGAAAGAATCTACCAAAAATCTATTAACTATTATGCAAAAAGAAGCATAAATGGTAAAGAAGCAAAATCCAACAAAGGTTCTCTTGACAATATAAAATTTTTGACCTATGCAGTGCTATATATTGTATTAAGTGGGTTTCACAAGTTAAGGTGGCCCTCTGTATTTGTAAATAAACTTTTGACGCACACAAGGCACAACTGTTTGCTTGTGTCTGTGGCTGCTTTACAATCCAACAGCTGAATTGAACTGCAGCAACAGAGACTATGCATCCCACAAAGCATAAAATACTTGCTCTGTATGCATTTATCCAACAAAGTAAACCAAACTGATGAATATATTATTCCCTTTCAATTTAGTACCTCAGAAGATTGGTGAGAAACATCATTACAATTTTTTTCTTCAGCCTGCTGTTCCAAAATTTGGAGTTCATATTCTGAAATACTGGACATCCAACAAGTTCTTTCCATTTCTTCTTTCAACAGATTGTCTTCTACTTCATCTTCAAACTCACCTTCTTCTTGCTTCACTTTAGTTCTAAGTACATCAACTTCCTCATGTTTCACTAAATTGTCAAGTTCTGGGTCCCATGGTTCTTCTTTAGGGAAAGTCCTAGGTTCTCCAATTTGTTTCTCTTTATCTCCAACAACAGCTGAATCCTCTGGTGACAATAAGGTAAAACTACTGCCTTGCTTCTGTTCAGGCTCAGTGTTTGGAGGACCAAATAGCACCTCTCTCAATGAACATAGATTTTCTGAAATATTCCTCAATATTATAGGAACCCTAAAAAAATTCAAGAAACATTATTCAGTTTTAATTATTCATCATAAAGACAAGTTTTAAAGGCTCTTACAAAAGAAAAGCTTACTAAGAAGACCCACGGACTAAACCTGCTCCTCATTTCCACACGGCCACATGTGAGGCTGAGTAGCAGCTGGCTTACCTGTGTGATAAGGTGATTCAGATTGTTGCAGTGGTCTACACATTGACTAATAGTCAACAGTATTTGGTTCTAAAAGCGTTTATGCCAGATTTCCCTTTTTCTGTTTGACAATTAATTTAATGAAATATAAAGTACATCAATAAGATATGGTCACAACAACAATGTAAAGACTACTTCATTACATTCTTAACTAAATGCGCAAGAAGAGCCAACAAATTTCTGTTAAAAAAACTTGTTTGATGGTTGACCCAGAGTCCATCTAGTTCTTCCCCCAACCTCTTTCAACATTTCCTTCTAGCACATCTCTATTTACCATGGCAACCATCAACTCTCAGAACCACACTTTACCAAGGACCACCAGTGGCTACACTAGTGTGGAAGTAACCTTTATTACCCTTCTGGCCTCCATTAGCTCTCTCCAGACTTAGTTCTACTGCGGGCCACCAAGAGTTCCTACTCTCCGACCACCTCCACCCCCTGGGGACTCTGCATCTTGGTGTGGAGCTAAGGTCTCCTCATTCTCTCCCTGTGTGACTTCCAGCCTTTCTTTCTAGCCCCTTCCCACTCCTTTGTGATACCTTCTAACTCCCAGAAACACTTTTAATTTGGATACCACAGCTCCCAAACTTGCCTAGGACCTAGAGTCAGTCAGCAAGGACAACCAAAGAACAGAAAACCCACCCAACAAAGACAAGACCAGACATTTATACCAAGAAACACTCCAAATATCATAACCCCAAATGCGTAGATCCCAAGACAAAATAAAAATACAAATAACCATACAAACAAAACAGCCAAAACAACATGCTTCCCCCAGAAGTCAGCATCTCTATTATAGTAAGCACCAAGAAAGGTAATTTAGTTTAAAGCAAAGACAAGAACTTCAAAACAGCAATTATGAATTGTTCAAGATTGTTAAAGAGGATATAAACATATCCTTAAAGAAAACAGTAAAAATACAAACATTGCATGAAAAACAAAAACAACTTAAGACATAAAAGTAGAATTTAACAAAGAAATAGGATCACCAAAGAAAACCCAAGCTGAAAAATGAAAACCTCAGGGTGTTAAAGAAAAGCCTCAGAGGTAAGTCTCACCAACACATCAAAAGTTATGGAAGAAAGAAGTTTAAGTCAAGGTAGAAGAAATGTACAGTTCAGTCAAAAAATATTAAATCTAGAAAGATCCAGGCACAAAACATCCAGGAATCCTGGAATACTATGGAAAGACCAAACTTATGTAAAATGGATATAAAGGAAGTAGAAAAAAATCTATATAAGGCACAAAAGTATTTTTAACAAAATCATACAAGAATTTTCCTGAGTCCAAGTGTGTGTGGGGGGGGGGGGATGCTTATCAACATACAAGAAGCATACAGAAAACTAAACAGGCAGAACCGGAAAAGAAATCCCTCCCTAATACATAATCAAAATACTAAACATACAGAAGAAAGGATATTTAAGGCTCAAGGGGAAAAGAGCAAATAACACATAAAGACTAGGCCATTAATATAACACTTGACTTTTTTTTTTAACTTTTTGTTGGTTCTTTGTGAATTTCACATCCTGCACCCCAATCCCACTCCCACTCCCCTGATACCCACCTTCCACCCTTGCAACCTCCTGCAACAGAGAAAAGAAAAATCTCGTGGAAGCTGTAGTGTGTGACAGTGTGTCCCCCTTTTGACCACACTTCTTTGATTGCAAATGTTCATTGCAATGACTTGTTGGTCTGGTTCAAGGAGTCTGGCTTCTGCTACTCTCTCAATACTGGAACCTCACTGGGACTCCTCTCAGATATCACATTGTTGCCCTGTGTCATGGAGATCCTGTACTTTTGGAGCTGTAGAACTGGCCCCTTCATGCACTCCAGCAGTTCATAAATGGGACAAATGTTAGGGCAGCCCAATTAAAATCCCTGGATCTGGACCTGAGAAGTATCACGGGGGGGGGGGGGGGGGGGGAGCAGGCCCTGCCGCTTGTCTTGTGGCAGCCTGGGTGAGGGAGAGCTGTCCTTCCCTAACATGCCTGCAGGTGGGAAAGCTGGCCCCAAAGGCATGAGGGCAGTAGAGCAGATGGGCTGACCAACAGCCGACTTTTCAATGGGAACTTTGAAGGCCAGAAAGGCTCCAGACTGATAGCACCGAAAGACCACAAAAGCCTGCCTAAACTACTGTATCCAGCAAAGCCACCAATCACAGTAGATGGAGGAAAAAAAATTCTCCAAAACCAGACAACAAAAAAACCAAAACAACAAAACTGTACTGTTCCTTGATAACCCTCAATATTAATGGCCTAAACTCTATAATAAAAGGACACAGAAACAATGTCTTCCATACACAAGACTAATGCACATTTGAACTCTCAGAGACTGTGGTAGCATACACAAGAATGACAAAGGTTCAATACAGAAAAAAGTCCAGCACGCCTAACCAAAAAGTTCTTTGCAATGCATATGGCTGGGAAAGGAAAAATTCACTTTTCTCCAATAAAGTGTCACTGGGTATATCAACTGCATTGCAGGGCAGGCCCCATGCCCAGAAGGAAGCAGTTGACCAACACAAAATGAACTCCATGCTTTTTCTGTAGACTTTTTGTTTCATTTTGTTTGGGTATTTGCTTTTCCTTACTGGTTTTTGTTTGTTTCGATTTTTGTTTGCCTGCTTGACTGATTGTTTGTTGAGAGAGGTGCACTCGAGCCTGGAGTTGGGTGGGTAGGGAGATAGGTAGGATCTTGGAACTGTTGAGCAAGAGGGGAAACATGGTAACAACATAAAAATTTTTAAACCAAAAAAAAAAAAAAAAAAAAAACTATACCCTATAGTTAAAATAACTACAAAAGCTCATAAGAAAAAAACATAAAAATTCTTAGGACTCTGTATTCATATGACTTTAGGTACACTGAATTATCACTCCATTTTAAAGAAACTAAAATTAGAAATTGTAGGTAATACATTCCAAGTATATTTTAAATAAGAAGCACTGTGCAGAACTCCGAACAGCAGGCCTACATTTAATGAAAACTCCATGATGCTTGCCTAGAGTGTACAAGGCCTCAAGCTCAATCCTCTGTACTAAAGAAAAAAAAAATCTACCTAATAAGTGAAGAAATTAGAAAGGGCCAAAGGAATGTGATAAGCAAAGAGATGCATTTATTATGTAATGAGTGCTTTGGGTTATATACTCTAATTTTTCAGTATGAAAATCAATGACTTAGATAATCTGAAATGTTTGTATAGCTCCAGTAAATTTTATGGTTCAAGATGAAACTTTGCTCTTTCATAAGAATGAACTATCAAAGTGTGAATTGTTCCAGGAGTTGTTCCCACACTAGAAACTGCATTATTACAAGACACAGAAAAAAAGCTAGAACTGACAGGGCACATCACCCTGCCAGTTAGCGTTCAGACTTCGAGAAGGCATTATGCCACCTGCTGGGGAAGTGGCAATGTCATCAAGGGTCTTTCCGGCTATGTACCCTCTATGCTACAGTTCCAACCTGCCAGGCAAGATGTGCCTACTGGTGAATTAGTGACATGACTGGTTGTGGGTTGGCCAGCAAAACTGTGACAGGATTTGAAGACTGGACCTTCAGGGGGGAATAGATGAGTGGACACGGTCAAAAGCCTTGGCTGGGAAAAAGCCAGGCCCCACCAGCAGAACCTACTGCCGGCAGGTTGCTAAGTAGACACATACCGTATTGCCTTCTAAATACTTGTGTTTTTCCCATAGTGTTGCTCTCCGCTTCAGTCAGAAGAGCTTTTTTTGCAGCAGGAAATGACTAATGGAGACTCAGAACTGGTCAAAGAGGAGAAATGAATGTTGTGTGCTCAGTCTGAAATGGGACCTCTATATCACTCTTTCAAAGGCCTGTGGACATCACAGAAAGGATGGGCAGACTGTGAGAGTTGGAAGATATGGACGAGTGCTATCAAACTGCTTTCTGCATGTGGCATGGCTACTGAAATTGTAAGCACACAGCAGCTGTGGACACCTGTAGAAGCCTACAAAGGACAGGGCCTTTCAACACCCACCCTGGAGGAGCAAAGCTCACAAGAGGCCTCCTCTTCCCCAGAAAGCCTTTGCTTGGTTGCCAGGAGAGGAGTTACCATTCTCTTCAGCAGTATAATACTGGTAAGTTGCCAATGCCCAGTCGACAGCTTCTTAACTATGCTCATACAAATTCAGCAACACACTCAAGGCTTGTGAGCACATGTGCACACACACAAACACACACACACAACATGAAAGAAGGAAAGGAACTACCTAAGTAAAAGAGAGTCAGCAGGAATCAGGGAAATAAGAGAGTGTAATGGGAGACAAATATGATCATAACAAATTGTATAAAATGGTCAAAAATCAAAACAAAACTGTACAATTAACAACTCTCCAAAGTTTGGCTCAACCTTAAACTGTCAAAGTCTGTATTCACACAAACAAAACCGAGATCAAAATTAAATTCTGTGCTGGAAAGATGGCTCAGCAGTTAAAAGAACTGGCTGCTCTACCAGAGGACCAGGTTTGATTCCCAGCACACACAAGGCAGCTCACAGCCGAGTGTTCCAGGGGCTCCAACACCCTCCTCTGCACCCCTCAAGCATATGGCATGTAAGCTGTGCATACACATACATGCAGGCAATATACTCATACACATAAAATAATTTTTAAAACTTTTAAATTTTTAATTATATTCAAAATATAGTAACAGACATATTTTAAAATAAAATTTTATAACATTTTTGTTAGGCAGACTGATCTTGAACTTGTGATTCTCCTGCCTCTGTCTCCTGAGCACTGAGATTATAGGTAAGTACCACCATGCCTGGTAATATATATATCACCACATATGTGTGTGTGTGTGTGTGTGTGTGTGTGTGTGTGCTTATATGTAACAACTGTGTATGAATAATGTGGTAGGAACAGTTATGATGCAATTTAATTGTGAAATAAATGTGTTGCTATAGCAACAGTGACATAATTCAACTAGCAATACTTTATGCCTTATTTACCCTACTCTCACAACAAAGATATAACCACCTACTCTAATACTAAACCCTGGCCTGTGAAGACATTCAAGTTAGCATGTACTTTTCCTTCCTTAAGAGTGCTATCATGCTCATTAGTAAGCAGGAGACAAGCTCAACACCCAGCAGAATGTCAAGAACACTGCAGCAATGCCACAGGACACACTGAATTTAAAATCAATGACTAAACAATACTAAATAACTCCAATCCTATCAGTCCTCTGAAACAAAACTGTTCCTGTCTGCAATAAACCTCAAACTACTCTGTTGTGAGTTCTTGATGTTAATAAAGCCTACTTAGCCTGCCGTTTTGAAGCAAAGCAGTAGGCATATGTGATTTATACCAAGCAGGTATTCTGTAAAAATCAGAAACCTATGTTTAAGAAAAATTACATAAAAGGTTATTGAAATTGGTACCAGGAGTGAGGTACTGCTGTTAGAGACCTGAACATGTTTTGGGGAAGACTGTAGAAGGACTTTGGAACTTTGGGCTAGAAAAGCCATTGAGTGTTCAAAGCTTGGTGAGCTGTTCCTGTGGATCTTGGAAGATAAAAATGTTGAGAGCAATGCAGACAATGAGGCCTGGCTTGTAAAGTTCCAGAGGGAAGTCTGAGAGTCCCTTAAAGACTCTGTTAGGGCTATTTGTTATTTTATTTTATTTTATTTGTAATTTTTTTATTGAAAATCTGTGGTTCTGGGTAGCTGGAGCTGAAAAAGCAGCTATGACTAACAAAACACAAGAAACACTGAAGTAAAATTTTGCATTACTGGGACAACTGATGCTGCTCAGCTGGAGATGAGAAATTAGTGGTGATTAAGAAGACACCAGCATCACTGAGGTGAAATCTTCTGGGAAACGTTGCTTCAGAGTCAGCTCACAAAAACTCTTCCAGAGGTGGCTACAGTTGTACCACACTCTGGCAGCAGAACTTGGATCCTGGGACAGTCACCCAGGTGGTACTGGTTTTGAGGCATGAAGGGGTCATGGACAGCAGGTGAGGCTTGGCACTGTGAGAGTCCAAGAAATGTCTCTGGTGAAGGTGCAACTCCAGGAGCAGTTGAAGTCCCAGGATTAAAGGGGTCATGGAAACGAGTGGCTATTAGTGAAAGTGCAGCCTAGTTGCAGCAGAAAACTCAGCATTTTGGAGATGTCAGAAGTACTGGATGACCACCAAGAACAGTAGCAGCAGGGGCGTGAAGCCAGCCAGGGCCTAGAAGACCAGCTTTGTATGCCTCAGAGAGTGGGGCTGGAGAAGTGATGCAAGCAAGCCATTTAGAGAAACACAGACTATCATGAGTGGGTCCCAGACACTGGACATTGCACTACTTACACTGCTGGGAGTTTGATTTTGCTTTGTTCAGATGGCGACTATGCCCTGGTTCTTCCCTCTTTAAGTGAAAAAGTATTTATTTTTGATTTTACAGGAGCCCACAGGAGGCCATAGTTGAGAGACTTTAAACTTAGAGAGACAGAGACTGACACAGAGAGAGAGATTTGGGAGTTTTACAGAGACTTTAAATTTTAAAAGAGACTAGATCATTTAAAGAGACAACTTCTCAAGTGTTAAGTTTGTAAGACTGTGGGACTTACAAGTTTGTAAAATGCTCTGTACTGTGATGGCTTTATTAATGTATGATATTGGGAATGAACAAGAAAAGAAAGTTTGTGGTTTAGCAGTGGAGCAGTTGTGTGTCAAGTTGACAAGGGGTCAGCTGTACTAGTTTTATGCTAATTTGACCCAAGCAATAGTTATCTGAGAGGAGGGAATCTTGATTGAGAAAAATGCCTTCATAAGTCTGGGCTGTCAGCAAGCCTGCGGAGCATTTTCTTAATTAATGACTTATGGGGGAGGGTCCAGGCCATCCTTGGGCTTGGGGTACAAGTTCTATAAGAAAGCTCTCAATCAACATATCAAAAAAAAAAAAAAAAAACAATTATAATTTCCCAAAACCAAAATACTATCTATCCCAAATAACTGCTTCACATTTCTACAGAGCAATTGTTACCTCCCAAATTACATTACTGAATTGGAATTGTTCAGAGCATTTCTACTTTTAAAAGAATAAATTTATCAAGGAATTCACTTGGACCAAAGTCTGCTTCCAAAGAGATTTAGTTACACAACTGTCTGAGACTCCAGATCCAGGGGGAATCTGAAACCCCTGACCTCCATAGACATACACACATACAAATGTATACATTCACACACACACACACACAATTTAAAATAAAATAAATAATTTTAAAAGCAGAATATTTAACCTCTGTAGAGTTTCTAAATTTCTGCAAGTGACAGGAAAATGCTTGGCTAGGTCCCTCATTTCTTCAGAGATTGAATTCAACTGTTTCTTCATCTCCATAGGTAGTCTTTCTTTGGCTAAAAAAAATAATAATAATATTATTATTAATATTCAAATTAAAAAGCAGAGATTTTATTTAACTATATCATAATATAGTATTAATATTCAGATTTTCATCTATTCCTTACAATGAATTTAAAAAAGAAACATTTCCTTCTTGAATCCCTAAACCACTTTCTTCGCTTTACCTCCTTCTTTTAACTTCCTTTTCAAATTTTTGCTATTTGAAATTTAGAGTAAATTCCAAATTTATACATTATACAATCCAAAGGTTACTGACCTAGACAGCAAAACAAAATTGAGATTCTAAACTCATCTAACACTGTTTCTAATTCAGAAATCAGCAAGCCCGAAACCCTATGAGTTGGGACTTAATACTGTTTGGAAACCTTGCCCAAGGGTCACTCTTTGTTGTCCTAATTAGTAATTAGCAAAACAAAATTTGAGCCTGTCTTACCTGTGGCCATCTTCCAAACTTTCAACCTCACTCCATCAGATAGTGCATTCTGTGTCAAGAGCAAGTTTCCTGCCTTCATTGTTTGTTTGTGTTTGAGACAGGGTTTCTCTGTGTACCTCTGACTGTCCTGGAAGTCACTCTGTAGACCAAGCTCACCTGGAACTCCTTGATCCACCTGCTTCTGTTTCCAAGTGGTAGGAATAAAGTTGTGCACTACCACTGCCCAGCTTGGGCTGTAGAGATGGGTCAGTGGTGAGAGAGCACTGGTTACTCTCCTTTCTGAAACCAGCTCCTTGCTTAGAATTTATTCACCACTTCTCCTCTCCCTAAAACATCCCAGGCTCCCTTGAAGCATATGATATAGATCACCTATCTTGCTATTCCAGACGGCTAGCCATCTTTTTTTGGTTTGTGCCATCAAAATCACAACCTTTTATTCACATATGGTTAGGTTTACTTATTCGTTACCTGTCTTTCCGTGCCCTACTCTCCTGTGATCGTTCCTTGTGATTTTAATGCCTACAGAGATGCGCCACTCTACGATGGACCTTCCATCCTCAGCTCCTCCATTTCCAACCATCTCTTCCTCATCTGACCTGAGCTGTTCATTCCCACCATCTGAGCCTTAACTTAAAGCTACCCAATAAAAACCACCACTGCCCCCAAACTTTCTCTTACAAACATTTTGCACCTTAAATACAAGTACCCTATCACTGTTTCTAGCAGTTTCCCCCATTCGGTGAGTTAACACTTCAGAAGGAAACTTACTGACTCCGCCCTCTCCCCACCCACACACCACCTGCTCTCCCCACCATGGCTTCCTTTCCTTTACTAGACACTCTGTAGTGTCTACTCCTTTGACACACAGACACTCAGCTTCTCTCTTTACCCACCTGCATGGAACTTACCTCGCAAAACTCCTACTTTAATTACATTCAACTCTTTAGCTAACTGATGCCTATCCCCAAGTAGCTGGACAAACTTAAAATGATATTGAGCCATTTGACTTGAAAGTCATGACACAGATCCCACTGCTCTACTCTACGGTGCAAATGTTATGGCCCCGCTTTCTCTTTTAAATTGCCAATGCCTGCTGCGCAGCTTCAAATGTTCTGCTCCATTTTCTCCTAAACTAACTCCAGCTCAGCTTTTCCCCCTCAGCAGCAAAGCTTCCTTTAGGAAGGCTACCACAATATCAACCTTAACTGTTAATATGAGAGCCTCACATCATTCAAATCCTCAGATTTAAGTGGCTGACAACTCCTTCCTATTTAAACCATTTCCTTCACCTGCCCTCCTCCTTCACTGATGACCCTCTCCATCCTCTCTCCTACTCTCTCTTTTTAAATGCCAGTGTGACCTTGAAGCTAATGCTTTCTCTGCACTCAGGTAGATCTCTGTGAGTTCAAGGCTAGCCTGATCTACATAGTGAGTTCTAGGACACCTAGGACTACACAGAGAAACCCTGTCTCAAAAAGCAATCAATCAATCAATCAATAGATGTCACCGCTAAGTCCTGCTCTTCTTTAACCAGGGTTTTAATCTGTCATGCCACCAAAACCCAGGAGGATCCTTGACACATGCCTCTCATTACATCAGATTCTGTTGACTCTACTTCTCTATTAAATATAGTGTGAAGCTGTCCACTTCTGTCAACTCCTGACACAAATTACCAATTCAAGTTATCATTTCTTCTTTTTTGGCTTAACCTCCAAAAGTGTTTCCTCACCATTCTTTTGTCATCCTACAATCCATTTTCTTCCTCTCTGGCTCATTTTGTTAGTGTTTTTGTTTTATTCTAAAGCTTGCCCTGCTAGTTTGATTTAAATACAGCGCATTTCACTTCCATGTTTAGAATGTGAGTAGCTTCAGTTTGCTCTTAGGAATGAATGTAAAGTCTGTACTATAGCCTGTCTCCTTTCATGTTTCTGCTTCTCCTACATTACACTATCATAACCAATAGTTTACTATACTGCACAAGTTACAGACAGATTACCTCTGACACATTGTACCTGTCTATCATTTTCCCTTTTGCCTTGGCTAGCAGATGGCCGCTCCTATTTAAGGTATTATCTCAAGCATTACTTCTTCCAGGAAATATTTTCAATGAAATATACTAATGATACATAAATCATGTTTTCACTCAAAAAGTTTCAGATTTCAAAGCATCTCAGACTATGTAAGGACTGTTCAATCTTTAACAATTCTCTCTGGCCATTAACAGAGGTGCTTTTGAGTATTTTGTCCCTTCTGTGCTCACAACTAATCCATGAGATAGATATTTTGCTATTATCCACATTTAAAGCATGGGAAAAGAGACAACTACAGATCAGATGGCTAAGATTCCACCATTGGTCTATATAGCACAAAAGCTACATAATTGACTCCCCATGCAATCACTACACTATCAAAACACCTAACAAGGCAATGAAATTGAGTGAAGAAAACAGCAACTTAAAGCAGAACAAGACAGCACATCTTATATACATTGAAGTATTGAGTTAGTTTTAAACAGTCGTGGAAAGAAGGTATATGCTTCCAGCCAAGAAGAAGCTGGTTGGCTCACTGATGTTATCAAAGATAATAATGTAGCTACTCCATGAATTGAAGAGTAGCAACACTACAAAACAAAGCAATGTGAGCCCTGCTTTCCCACAACGAAAATACCTAAAACTCCAATACTTAATTCTGATGGATTTCATCTTCACAGCAACACTGTTCAGACATTGAAGAAGCAGTATAATATTTTGTAAAGATGCATTGACTTTTTGAAACAAAACTCACAAAACAGCAAATATACATTTTATCTTTTATTTTAGGCCATAACATACCTCTATTTAGAGCAAACACTTGCCCGGCATCTCCCAAGCTTTCTAATTTTTGATAAATGATAAGACCAGCCTATAAAATAAAGAAAACAAGGTGAAAGTTACAGATAATCAAAATAAATGTATATATCACCTCTCTAGCAAAATCAGCAAGAATGGTTTCCAAAAGACCCCCAAAAAATGAAGTCAAACTATTCCATTATGCAAAGATCCATGTCTTCAGGTAAGCACTATTCCAACTGGAAAACAAAAGCTGCCTTGGGCTGCAAAATATAGCTCAGAATTTTCATTTACTAATTTTCAGGATTATAAGTAGGTATTCAAATGAAATGATCTGTAAACAAAATTTTAAAAATACAATCTACTGAGTGACATCTGCTTTGATGACAGATTCTATCTAATATTTGAGATTTCATTAAGCCACCTGAAAATGTTGGTCAGCATATGAAGCCTAACGCATGCAGGATATTTTTAACAGAGACAATCAAGTCACAGAGACTTTCAAGAATAAGGACATTACAGCCTGTAATCTCCATACTAGGAGGATAGAGGCAAGAGGATCAAGATACCAAGGCCAGCCTCAGCTACATGGACAGTTCAGGACCAGAATAAGCTGCGAGAGACTTTGCCATAATTTTAAAAGCACATGAACAAAGAAACAAAGAAAGCCAAAGGAACTGTGAAAAGTCTCTAATTCATCAAGCTATTTCCCCAACAAAAGCATTTGTTGGTTTTCTTTTGTTTTTCTGGTTACAAACTAAAGGAGTATCCATATCTTTAAAAAAATGCACAAAAGATACTGTCAATAGGACAAAATAGCAGCCTAAAGAATGGGAAAAGATCCTCACCAACCCTATATCCAATAGAGGGCTAATATTCAAAATATATAAAGAACTCAAAATTAGATAGCAACAAACCAAATAACCCAATTATAAAATGGGGTACAAAGCTAGCCAGAGAATTCTCAACGGAGGAATCTGTAATGGTCAAGAATCACTTAAAGAAATGGTCAACATCCTTATTCATCAGGGAAATGCAAGTCAAAACGACTCTGAGATTCCACCTTATATCCGTCAGAATGGCTAAGATAAAAAACTCAAGTGACAGCACATGCTGGTGAGGATGTGGAGCAAGGGGAACCCTCCTCCAGTGCTGGTAGGAATGCACTTATACAACCACTGTGGAAGGTTGTATACTGTCTACAGGTTTCTCAAAAAATTAGGAATAGCTCTGCCTCAAGACCCAGCTACACCACTCCTGGGCATATACCCAAAAGATGTTCCACCATACCATAAGGACACATCTTCAACTATGTTCATAACAGCTTTATTGGTGATAGCCAGAAACTGGAAACAACCTAGATGTCCCTCAACTGAAGAATAGATAAAGAAAATAAATGTACTACATTTACAGAATGGAATAATATCAGCTATTAAAAACAGACATCATGCGATTTGTAGGAAAATGGATGAAACTAGAAAAGATCATCCAGAGTAAGGTAACCCAGACCCAGAAAGACACACATGGTATGTACTCACTTAGAAGTGGACATTAGCCATGCAGGACAGGATAACCATACTGTAATGTATAGACCCAAAAAAGCCAAGGAGGGCCCAAGGCAGGAAGCTTGAATCTCATTCAGAAGAGGAAATAAAACAGACATCTGAAGTAGATGGAAAGAGGGAACTGGGTGGAAGAGGGGAGTGAGGAAAGTCAGGGTGGAGAGGATCCAGAGAGAGAACAGAAATCAGTATGGGGGAATCTCTAGGACAGGGAGGCTCCTGGGAGTCTATGGGGGTGACCCTGGCTGAGACTCCTAGCAGCAGGGGTTAAGGAGACTGAAGTTGCCACCTCCTGTAGCCAGGTGGGACTTCCAGCAGAGGGAGGTTGACACCAACCTACCCATAAAACCATCCACCCAAAAGTCTTGCCTACAATAACTGTAGAGATAAAGACGGTGCAGAGATTGAGAGAATGGCAAACCAATGTCTAGCCCAACATGGGACCCACCCCATGGGAGAGAGCCGACCCCTGTCACCATTAATGATATTCTGCTATATTTGCAGACAGGACCACAGATAGCATAACTGTCTTCTGAGAGGCTTCATCCAGCAGCTGGTGGAAAAGGATACAGAGACCCGCAGCCAAACAATAGGCCGAGCTCAGGAAATTCTTTGGAAGAGTGGGAGGAAGGACGGAGGGAGCTGGAGGGGCCAAGGACACCACAGAAGACATATAGGGTAAACTAACATGGGCCCACGGGGGTCACAGAGACTGAACCAACAACCAAAGAGCACGTACAGGCTAGACCTAGACTCCCTACACATAGGTAGTAGATGTGCAGCTTGTTCTTCATGTGGGTCCCCTAACAATAGAAGCAGGGGCTGTCTCTGACTTTCCTGCTACTAGATTCCCTTCCCCTATTGGGCTACCTTGTCAACGGCTCAATGGGAAAGGATACATTTAGTCCTTCTGCAACATGAGATGCCAGGGTCGGTTAGTACCCCTCGGAGACCTCCCCTTCTCTGAGAAGAAGAAGAGGGGAAGAGGGAAAAGGGGGCATGAGGGTGGGACTGGGAGGAGAGGAGGAAGGGGGCTGGCATCAGGCTGTAAAGTGATGAAAGAGAGAGAGAGAGAGAGAGAGAGAGAGAGAGAGAGAGAGAAAGAAAGAAAGAAAGAAAGAAAGAAAGAAAGAAAAAGAAGAGAAAGAAAAACATTTATGCTTAGACACAAAGTACAGGTTAATTAATGCTTAGATGCAAGATAAAGGTCAATTGATGAGAAGAGTGTGGAAGAGGAAGAAAAACTATAATGAGTAACTGTTTATGATTCGTGGAAAATGACTGAAGAGAAGTGAATTGAAAAAAATATTAAATGCTAGGGGCTAGAGAGATGGCTCAGTGGTCAAGAGTACTGGCTGCTCTTCTAGAGGTCCTAAGCTCAATTCCCAGCAACCACATGATGGCACACAACCATCTGTATTGGAACCTGATTCCTTCTTCTGCTATGTATGAAAACAGAGCACTCATTTACATAAAATAAATAAATATATCTTAAAAAGTAAATGCAAGATGGAATAACAAGATATTTATCAATAAATAAAAGTATAATATATGGTAAAGTAATTTACAAATGACATATTTAAGTTAATAGACAAAAGTACTATATGTAAAAACAAGTTGAGAATCTAGTGTATATGCAGAATGTAAATATGAAAATATATCTAAAAACAGAAGCAACTAAATTTGAAGGCAATTTATCTAAATTTCCACATTTTAAATATAAATGTAGGGAATAAGGCTAATTTAAATATAGAAAGCCTGTGATTTTTTTTTATTCTGAGTGATTTATATACAAAATAGATCATCAAACCATTTGTGCCTGCTAAGCCTAAAGCCTTTCATGATTTCAGTAAGTTCTCATTCTTTTACACAGAAATTGGACATCACTTTGACTTCATGACAGTGAAAATAACTACTGCTATGCAATCTATTAATTGGCATTTTTCTAATTAACATGTGGAACTTTACTTGCTGTGTTCCTAAGCAATTTTTCATGACAAACTAGAATAAAATATTTTAGGTAAGGACACAACCACAGTAAAAAATGTTTTTCAGTAATTCAGTACAGGAAATAGAAATGACATAACTAACAGTCTTTAAATACATACATAAGCATCAGTAGCGGCATATAGTTTCTGGTCCTCAGTGAGGGGGAAATTGCTCCAATCGCTACAGCGGATAGACTTGTCTTTCAAAAGCTGTTTTCCCAAGACATGTTTAACGAGACCATTGAGGCTCCAAGTCTCTGCACACTTCAACTGGAAGTAAGGAAAAGGCATCATAGCAAACAAACCTTTGCTGTCAGCGATTCCTAAGTACCACCTAATGAGCAGACCACAAATAAAACTAGAAATGTTGTACCATAATAATCAAACTGTCCATCACTAAAACCTCATTTATAGTCCACAAGTTCCATTAAAATACTTAAACTTAAAAAAAAATACTTAAACTTTAAAGATTCTTTCCTACAAAGAAGTTGAATAGATTAGAATGCTTTTGATTTTACAGCCAAATGGATACTTGGCTAAATATAAGAATTTAACCATTTCATTAATAAAATAATGGAAATATAGGTGTTGGTGTTAAAGGTCAAACTGACACTCAGAGCTCTATATCAAGAGCTGCACTCCAGTCTTCTTTACAAAAGAAATGCTATTGGAAAAGTGTCTTTTAAAATAAATATTCAGGTGTGCAAATACAGGAAAGAAGTGACAGTTGGAAGAATGCTAGTTTAATACTAAAATCTGTACTCCTAAAGAAGCTGAACAACAAGGAGGACCCTAGGGAAGATGCTCAGTCCTCATTCAGAAGGGCAAACAGGATAGATATCGGAAGTAGGAGAAAGCAAGGAACAGACAGGAGCCTTCCACAGAGGACCTCTGAAAGACTCTACCCACCAGGATATCAAGGGAGATATTGAGACTCAGAGCCAAACTTTAGGCAGAGTGCCGGAAACCTTATAGAAGAAGAGGGAGATAGAAAGACCTGGAGGGGACAGGAGCTCCACAAGGAAAACAAGAGAACTAAAACACCTGAACCCAGGGGGCCGTGCAGAGACCAATACTCCAACCAAGGACCATGGAGAGAGAGGGCCTAGACCCCTGTTCAGAGGAAGCCCATAGGCTTTGTTCAGTTTCCAAGTCCTAGTAAGGGCTACAGGGGCTGTCTCTGACATGAACTTAGTGGCCAGCTCTTTGATCACCTCCCTCTGGGGGTGTGGGGTTTCAGCCTTGCCAGGCCACAGAGGAAGATGATGCAGCCAGCCTTGATGAGACCTGATAGGCTAAGGCCAGATAGAAGGGGAGGAGGTCCTCCCCTATCAGTGGACTTGGGAGGGGCATGGGAGGAGATGAGGAAGGCAGGGTGGGGGTGGGAGGGGATGAGAGAGGAGACTGCAGCAGGGATACAAAGTAAATAAGTTGAAATAAACAAATAAATAAATAAATTTTTAAAAATAATTTAAAAAAAAAGAATGCTGGTTTAGGTAACTGTATGCCGAGATAACAAATCAGAACTGGGTGCTTCATTATGTACTTTGAACTTCTGTATTGCCACCAAAATCAACAGACAGCCTACATTACTTTTTTTGAAGGAAAAAAAAAAACCTAACATTTAGATTTTTTAAAAATGCACATCTTAAAATACAAATTACCATGTATATTACAATAATACATGTATTACTTGTACCTTTTCATTGGCAACATCCGTCAGCTCCACAAAACTCTCCAACTTGATGTCAAAATCACGCAAAAGTTTCCACTGATCTCCTTCAATTCCAACACCTGCCTTCTTAATTGACTTATTTTCTAGTAATACTTTTAATCCCTGGGGGAAAACTAAACATTTCATTATTATTTCCATAACACTGTTAAGTATAATGGATTCCCTATTTTTATGCATTGTGTAGTCATGTTAATCTGATGTTTACATTCAGCTTAAATTTAGAATCACATTCATCTTAACTATTTCTTTTCTTATCTAATGCAGAGTTCTGACTAAAAATTGACTAGGAAAAAAAAAGAGTTCAAATGCCACCTCTAGGAACAGTAACAGTATATTATTCCAGTATATTATTACTTAGACCTCTAAACTTCAATTCTCTATTCTCTAACACAGGAAAAAGATATAAAAACCAGGTAAAAATACAATTACTTAAATAAATGTAAGATCAGGAGAGAAAGCCTGTTAATGAAAGAACTTAATTTTCCAGGAAGTTGATCTATTTTAATTTTGTTGGCCATATAAAAACGAAACAGAGATACCAACCTGACATAGAAGAAACGTGAAACAAGTAGCATTTGCTCTCAGACACACACAACTGAATCACTGCAACTTTGCTTCGCTTCCCTTGTTTGTATATGGGTGGCCATTCCATGTCAAATCCTATCACATCTCCATCAGACAGACGCATGCTACCAAAGGAAAAATTGTGTGGTGTAACTGCATGATTTTTTTTTTAACTTTTCCATAACTAACAACGTCGTCACAAGTTAAGGGGCAAACAAAAGACTGGAGAACCTGTCTGTGACGCATAACACTTTTGGTAAGCAGCCAGAAAATATTAAAAAGTCTTTTTAAACGTCACTAAGAAGACTTCTGTCTTAGTCACTGTTCTATTGCTGTGAAGAGACACCATGTCCAAGGCAACTATTATAAAAGAAAGCATTTAATTGGAGCTGGCTGACAATTCAAAGGTTTAGCCCACTATCATCATGGTGTGGAGCAGCAGCTAAGAGCGATAACCTGATCGGCAGGTGGAAAGAACAAGAGGTCTGGCATACACTTCCTCCAACAAGGCCACACTTCCTAATACCTCTAATCCAATGGTTCTCCACCTTCCTAATGCTGTGACCCTTTAATACAGTTCCTCATATTTTGGTGACCCCCAACCATAAGATTATTTCATTGCTACTTCATAACTGTAATTTTGCTACTGTTATGAATCCTAATGTAAATATCTAATATGCAAAAGCATATTTCACATATCTGTGAAAGCATCATTTAACCCCTAAAGGTCTAGCAGGTCGAGAACCACTGTTCTCATACCATCAACGAGTTCCACTCTCTAGCAATGAAGCATTCAGCATATGAGCCTTTGAGGGTCATTCTAATTCAGAGCACTAAAGCAGGTAAGATGACTCAGTCGATAAATGCCTTAGTTTGCTATCTACCATGTCCAAAAGCAACTTGGGAAGACAGGGTTTGTTTAAGCTTACATGGCACAGTCCATCATGAAGGGAAGTAGAGAAGTCAGGGCAGAAAATCAAGGCAGGCACCTAAAGGCAGAAGCTGAGGCAGAGACCATGGAGGAACATTGCTAACTGCCTTTATTCTCCTGGCTTGCTCAGTTGGCTTTCTTGCAAGGCAGGACCAACTTTCCCACAAGCCCAGGGACGATACTGCCCCAAGTGAGCTGGTCACTCCCACATCAATCATTGATCAAGAGAATGTGTTTCCAGGCTTGCCTACAGACCAATCTGATGGGTCATTTTCTCAACTGAGGTTCCCTGTTCTCAGATGACTCTAGCCTGTGTCAAACTAACAACAAAAGAAATGTTCTCTGCAACACCCCTCCTTTTGAATGGCAGTGGGATTGAAAATAAACTACATTTCCATCAACAAAAGAATAAACAAATTGTGGCATGCCAAAACAGAAACAGTGGCACATAACCGTTTAATGGAACTACATACTTCAAAAAGAAAATTCTCAAAACTTATGGTTGAATAAAAAGACAAATTTCAGGAAACCCATATATATTTAAACTGGCAAGTAATACAACATGAAGAAACCCTAACTATTGAACTCAGGATGTTATTTTAGAGCTGCACAGGGGCTGGAGGAAGGTAAACTAAGAAGGGTGTTAGTGGGCTTTTATTTTCAATTTATTATTTTTTTGGACACACATAGCACATGGAGAGAACCTACTCCTGAAAGCTGTCCTCTGACCAAGTATGCACCTACATACATAAACACATGTGCACACACACATGCACGCACGCATGCACACATCACATGAGCACACACACAAAATAAATAATAAAGACTTAACATAACTAGATAAGAAGATACAGCTGTTTTATTTATTTTTGTTTATATGCCTGGTTCACAGTTTTGTTTTTATTTTTTGTTTTGTTTTGTTTTGAGACGGGGTTTCTCTGTGTAGCCCTGGCTGTCATGGACTTGTGTTGTAGACCAGGCTGGCCTCAGATCTGCCTGCCTCTGCCTCCCGGAGTGCTGGGATTACAGGCATGCACCACCACACCTGGCTTAGTTCACAGTTTTTAATTAAACATGTATTACAAACATAAAAGAATGTCAGCTACTACTTCATCCCAAGATGAAATTTACAAGGACTCATTCTTCCACTGAGAATAAACAAAAAAAAAAAGTACAAAAATATCTAAATTTGCTGCTCTCAGGACAAGATGACAATCTCTGAGGTTATCCCTGATTCTCCTAGAATGTCTTCCAGGCAAGCAGAGAGAAGAACAGCAAGGACAGCACTGAGGGGGGAAACTGAGACAGCGGTCTCTGATTCCTAGGGTCCTCAGGACTCTAGGAATCCTGAGAGGTCAGTGTAACTATAAGCTGCACAGTTCTCTCGTAGACAGGGTAATGAGACCTGAAGCTTTAAAAGTCACAGCAGACATTGTTGAACTCCAGAAACAATCGGCCATCTCCATGAGGGTCACACCTGACAGAGCTCCATTACCTTCAGAAGAAAAGCGATCTCAGGCCTAACTAATACAGAGTAAAAGCAAGCCTCCAAATACAACACCCATTTACAGGTAACTCAGCTGCAAAAAAAAAAAAAAAAAGCAAACTGCAAAAGATATAACAAGGTAAAATCACAGCTGACCAAAAAACTCAGCAGCTCTGACACACATCAAACATAAATTCTAATGGGGGTAGGGATCACTCAATGGGAAGGAAACTTGCATTACACTCAGAGCAGGCATGGTGGCACAAGTCAGTGATCCCAGCACCTGTGAGCTGTAGGCAAAAGGATGGGGAACTAAGATCATCCTCAGCCATACAGTAAATTCAAGGGACCTACCTCGGCTACATAAGACCCTCTTCAAAACAACACAAAAACAAACAAAAAATATTATAAATTATTAATATGTTCAGGAATTTTAAAAGAAATCATGTACCAAATAAGGCATTAAGTTGGAAGTTTGGTGAGGTTTTTTTAAAATGTAACTTTTATAAACAAAACACATCTGCACTCTGCACTATTCCTAGCTCTGTGTCTTGCTCAGCCACCATCAGAGCAGCTGCTTCCTGCAGTAGATGGGAACAGGTACAGAGACCCACAGCTGGACAATATGCAGAGAATGAGAGACCTTAGAACACTCAATCCTAAATGGCATGTCTCCATCAAATCCCTCCCCTCATGGCTTGGGGAACTTTGCAAAAGAGGAAGCAGCCAGTGGGGATGGAAGACATCAAGGAAATAAGACCTTCTAGAAACAATGGGGCTGATGATGTACAAACAAACTCACAGAGTGTGGCAGCATGCACAAGGCCTACACAAGTCTAAATGAGGTGAAGTCCCAGTGCTGAAAGGCAGAAATGGACATATTCTTCCATCCCTCATCCGGAAATTAGCTCCAATCTTTAACTACTTGTAAAAGGAAACTTAGTATACTGAAGACCAACTGAGACACCCAGCCTCCTGAAATGAACAACTACAAAAACAAGGCATTCTGGGCCTTTTGTTGAGAGACAACCATTGTTGGAAAAGAGAGACCACAGCCTGTAAAGCCATGCTAATAAATCCCCATTTAATATATCTATGTATATATATATACTCATTCTATAAGATCTGTTCCATTAAAAAAAAAAAGTGACTAATATAAGACATGACATACCATAGCAAGACAAAAGGTAATATGATGAGGCTAACATATAATCATATATAATAGGTTTACCTATGCTGTAAGTCTAATTTTAATTCAGTAAAATGAGGCCCAGAAGTGAGAAGATAAATAGACTGGAGCTGAAGACACCTAAATACTACTTGCAGATTACATTTACCACCAGGACAACACTAATGAACTGCTTCATTTACTTCTGCTTTTTAAAAATCCAAGTGCAAATAGTTAAAAATCAAAAGTACATATGCAATCATTTCAACGATCTGAATTAATTTACTGCTTCTCTGTGTAAATTGCTTCAAGAGGCTTAGGTTGCATTACTCCAGAATCCTAATTTCACAAGTTGCTATGACATGAATAACCTCTCCAAAATTCCTGACAAAATGTACTCCTCAATGGAACATAGTGGGAGGTGGGGCATGAACACAGGTGTTTGGCTCATCAAGGCTCCACCCCCTCAACAGATACTCCTTTTCAAGAGCATAGGCTAGTTATCCAGAAAACTGGTTTAATTTGGGTCCCTCTTCCCTTCTACCAATACAAAGATGCAATACAAAGTCCCTTACAAATACCAATTCTGTTCTCTGTGACTCTATAGCATCCCAAACTGGAAGGAATAAATTCATTTATAAATTTATTTATATGTGTCTTTCTACAATTTACTCAGGCCATGGAATTTTGTTACAGCCAGAGAAAACAAACTCAGACAGGCAGGTATGAACAAGTACTAACAGTCATTTCTACTTTTTTTTCCTTTCTTTTTTTAATTAATTTACTCATTTTACATCCTGATCCTATCCCCTCCCTGGTCCCACCCTCTCTGCCCCTTCCTCCCACCCCCATGCCCTAGTCCTCAGAAAGGGGGAGCACCGCCCCCTTACTAACTGATCCCAGACTATCAAGTTTCTTTGGGACTGCCTGCATCGTCTTCCTCTGTGGCCTGGGAAGGCCACCTCACCTGGGGGAAGTTATCAAGGGGCAGGCAACAGAGTCCAAGTCAGAGACAGCCCCTGGTCCACTTATTAGAGGACCCACACGGAGACTGAGCTGCCTATTGGCTACATCTGCGCAGGGGACCTGCATCTTCTCCATGCACGGTCCTTGGTTAGTGCCTCAGTCTCCGCAGCCGCCCCCTGAGCCCAGATTTCTAACAATCATTTCTGATGCTCTTTTTATAGACCATTTGGAGAAACTATCACTGACTTTGAAAAATGGCCTGAGAGATGGCTCAACACTTAGGATCTTGATTCCCAGCACCCACACTATGGTTCACAACTGTCCATAATTCAAGTTCAAAATCCAAAGCCCTCTTCTGGCCCCTCAGTGAATAGCATACACATGTGTTATGTAAACATACATGCAGATGAGGCATCCAAACATATTTTTCAAAAGTTAAAATAGAAATAAATTTTAAATAAATAAAAGAGAGACTCATAACTATTATTTGATATGTTGACATTTTAGCAAGATATGAAAATGCAGTTAGAAGTTAAGTAACACTATCATTTTTTTCTAAACTGATAGCGTGTTTAATAGTTTTACCTGTACATTACATCTCAAGCACTAAAAAGAAACAAAATGTATCTAATGAAGTAGAAAAGGTTATTAATTAACAAAGGTTACTACTTATTACTTTAATATAGTAGCTTTATTTTTATTTAAAAAGTAGAATACAACTTAGTGATATGATATATGTAGAAATACTTCTGAAATATACTTCCACTGTAAAACTAGGCACTCATAAATATCACTCATTAGTTCTTAAGGGTCCAAACTTAATGCCAAGAACTTCAAATCCCTTACCTAATGTCTTCAGACAGGAAGGAGCAATCACTAGCTTCATAGCTGTAAACAACAGAACCAGTGAATTCTAAGAATGGGAGGTCATCTTCGAGAACACTCTTCTGAATGCATGCCTTGAGTTAAGAAAATTCAAAGTGAGCACAAACTATTTCCACAATAAATAGTAAGTCTTCACTGAAGTAGTAAAGCCCACAGATGAAATCTATAGTACTAAGTTTTATATTGTAGAGTAAGAAGCCATAACATTGAGAAGTTTAACAAAGGTAAAGCCATACACTGCTGTAAAATGATTTGTCCATAACTTTCTATTTTCAAACTTCTAATCTTATTTTCATAAAGTCACTTAATTTACTTAATTTAATTTTTCCTGATAATTATATTAATTAACATCCTAGATAAAATAATGTGACTTTGAAATGCTGATAGCCAGTTACCAGATCGTAACTCTGCAAGGACTTAAATGATTTTAACCAAAAATTCACCAACATTAATATTGTCTAAATTATTATATGAAATGGGACAAACCAACAGGGCACAGTGGCGCACACCTGTAATCCCAGCACTCAGGGAGGCAGAGGCAGGCAGATGGCTGTGAGTTTGAAGCCAGCCAGTCTACACAGAGAAATGTGAGTCCAGGATAGTCAAGTTTACACAGAGAAACCATGTTTCAAAAACCAAAAGCAAAAAAAAAAAAAAAAAAAAAAAAGGAACAAGCCAATAACGCTAAATAAAAAAAGAGAGAGAGAGAAAATATACATTAGGGATTCTCATTTTATAAAGCTTATTTAAAATTGAATCTCATTTACCTTTCAACAACTTGGTCCTGGTTCATTCACAAACAGAGAGTTTTCCCTAAACAATGACCTGAAGCTTACAAGCAATGGGGTGACTCACTGCACAGTCAAATTCAAACAAAACTTCCCATCTGAACAAACAACCAATGAGCAATTACCTTCTTTTCTTCTGTAGCACCTCTTTTATTCTGCTCAGACATCCATTCAGGAAATTTTCGCTGAGGTGAGGTGGTTTCCATTTCATTTTCATTCATCTTTAAAATGCCCTAGTTACAAATGCCAATAAACAATAGCCATGAATAAATATGGCAAATATTTGACAGGAAACTCAGTGACAGCCCCACAGTTAGGACTGCAAAATCAAACAAACATACATATTTAGTAGAAGATATAACTCCTAGCCTCAAGAACAAGAGCTTGAATCACAAAAAAAGCAAATGCAGCATTCCAGGTTTATTAACTATACATCACTTCTTTCTTTTATAACAAAGTGACTATTTTAATGGAGTTCTATGGTTGTGGCAGATTCAAAATCTAATATGCTATGTTATGCTTTGTTCCTTCAAAAGAATAAGTTTTATATCATTAATGAAGATAATCTTTGAATATGTGAAGTATTAATTTTTTCAGCATCTTTGATTTTCTGAATAATTATCATCTCCCTTAAGGTCTCAGTTGACTCAGCACAACTGTTAGATTTATTCACAAATCAACTTGAAGATGCATAGAGTTCTGAAGACCTAACAGCTGTTCTATAGCCAGGACTTTCACTATGCTCTTGGCTAAGACAGTGAGAGGAGTCCCTAAAAAGAGTTTTTTGTTACTAGTTTTGAGGGCTCTCCAGGATGGAATTCAGACTTCAAGTATGAAATTCCAAATATAGTACTTTTTAATAATAAAAGGAATCCATGCTCCCATGTGACTTATACTAAACTCAAGTAGTAAATTCCTCAAGCCCCTGGTTAACCTCCTATTACCAAGTGACTCATGGGGAGTAGAAATTTAAATATGTTGTTGAATATTCTCCTTGTGAAACATCACGTTAATATTAGGTAATCACAGCAAACGTTTCAGGTTTAGGAGCAGCCTATTATACCTGGAACTATTAAGTCACATAAAGAAACCTTTTCTTCCTTTTTTTTTTTTTTTCTTTTTCTCTTTTCTATTTATTCAGACCAGGAAAATTCTATACATATCTGTCCCAAAGTCTCCGCATCTCAAATTTTTTTAGCCTTTTTTTCTTTTTCTTTTTATTAATTACAGTTTATTCACTTTGTTTCCCACCTGTACCTCCCTCCAACCTCCCCTCCCAATCATATCCTCCTTCCCTCTTCTCCACCCATGCCCCTCCCCAAGTCTACTGATAGGGGAGGTCCTCCTCTCCTTCCCTCTGATCCTAGCCTATCAGGTCTCATCAGGAATGGCTGCATTGTCTTCCTCTGTAGCCTGGTAAGGCTGCTCCCCCCTCAGGGGGAGGTGATCAAAGAGCAGGCCAATAAGTTCATGTCAGAGACAGTGCCTGTTCCCATTACTATGGAACCCACTTTGACACTGAACTGCCATGAGCTACATCTGTGCAGGAGTTATCTCCATGAATGGTCCTTGGTTGGAGTATCAGTCTCAGAAAAGACACCTGTGCCCAGATTTTTTGGTTCTATTGCTTTCTTTGTGGAGCTCCTGTCTCTCCAAGTCTTATTATCACCCCCTTCTTTCAATAAATGGGACCTCATTAAACTGAAAAGCTTCTGTAAAACAAAGGACCTGTCTTCAGAACAAAAAACAAAACAAAACAAAACAAAACAAAAAAAAAACTGCCTACAGATTGGGAAAAGATCTTCATCAACCCCATAGCTGACAGAGAACTAATATCCAGAATATATAAAGAACTCAAGAAGTTAAACAGCAACAAATCAAAGGAATCCAATTTAAAAACTGGGGTACAGAGCTAAACAGAGAATTCTCAATAGAGGAATATCGAATGGCAGAGAAACACTTAAAGAAATGTTCAACATCCTTAGTCATCAGGGAAATGCAAATCAAAACAACCCTGAGATTTCACCTTACACCCATCAGAATGGCTAAGATAAAAACTCAAGAGACAACACTTGCTGGAGAGATTGTGGAGAAAGGGGAACCCTACTCCACTGCTGGTGGGAATGTAAACTTGTACAACCACTTTGGAAATCTGGCATTTTCTCAGACAATTAGGAATAGTGCTTCCTCAAGATCCAGCTATACCACTCCCAGGCATGTATCCAAAAGATGCTCAAGTATACAACAAGGACATTTGCTCAACCATGTTTATAACAGCTTTATTTGTAATAGCCAGAATCTGGAAACAACCCAGATGCCCCTCAGTTGAGGAATGGATACAAAAATTGTGGTATATTTACACAATGGAAATTACTCAGCAATTAAAAAAAAAAAAACAAGGAAATCATGAAATGTGCAGGCAAATGGTGGGAACTGGAAAAGATCATCCTGAGTGAGGTATCCCAGAAGCAGAAAGACACACAGGGTATATATTCACTTATAAGTGGATATTAGACATATAATATAGGATTAACATACTAAAATCTATACATTTAAAGAAACTAATCAAGAAGGAAGACTCTGGCTAAGTTGCTCAATCCCCATTCAGAAAGGCAAAGAGGATGGACATCAGAAGAGGGAGAAAACAGGGTTTGGCTGTAAGTCTCAGCATCTGCTCTGATACCCTGCAGGGTAGAGCCTTTCAGAGGCCCTCTGTGGTAGGCTCTTGTATCTCCTCCCAGTTAGCATGGCCCCTATCCATACTGGAATTCTGATTGGCTTGATCTTCTACAGGTCTTATGCAGACAAGCCGCTATGAATTAATGAAACAGCTATGTCATAAGCAGAAGCCAGGATTTCATAGCACCTACCCCAGTAGGGTCTGTTATTAAAGTATATTTGCATAGAGTATTTGTGGTGCACGCAGAGTATATCACTGGCAAAATGCCAGAAAACTGAGGTTTCAACATATAACTTAACCTGTACAAAAGCTATGTAAGCAATTTAGCACAGTGATGAAGCAAACATAAACCTTGGTAACTAATCTGCAGCTGTGTAACACTAGGATCATTTTAATTTGAAATACCTATTTATATATACAAAATTGAATCTAGACACTTCCAAGTAGAGAATTTAAAAGTAAATTTATTTACAAACCAATTATCTTGGGGCTGGAGAGTAGCAGAGTTCCTACTGCTCTTGTAGAGGACGCACAAACACATGCACATATGTAAAACTCGATTCTTTTAAAAGGAGCTTAAATCTCCCCTGTGAAAGTGTTTTAGTTTGCGCTTTCCTGAAATTATCTTGCCTATCCATCTACTACCACCTACAACTTTTCAACTCTTATCATTTTACGACTGTCTACATTTTTTGCTGTTACTGTTCATTTCTCTGTTATTGTTTTGTTTTTCTTTAATCTTACATAGACCAAATTAAGCATGTCTGTTTTCAGCAGTGACATTCATCTCATTCACAGGGAGGGAAAACAAGGGCTTTAGGGCTGATAAGACAGCTCAGCGGGTTAAGGTATTTACTCTGCAAGCCTGGAGACCCGAATCCATGAAAAGGTAGAAAAAAGAGAACCAACTCCACAAAGTTGCCCTCTGACCTCTACATACATTCCACAGCATGTGTATATTCACACCCACACACAATGACAAATAAACTTACATTTATTAATTTTAAAAAGTTTTCCTTTGTTGAGTAAGCAGCTTTATTTTTGACAGCTTCACACATGGACACAGTGTGCTGGGCTCCCACACCCTCTCTTACCCCCTCACACTCCACTGACTCTAGTTTACTAGGCATCTTACATATCTTAGTCTTCCTCTGGACTTGTGGGAGGGCTGTTGTTGTTGGGGAGGTTGGTTTGTTTCTGGGAGGGGGGTTGTTTCCTTTTCTTGAGACAGAATGTCAGGAAGTCTAGGTTCGCCTCACACTATGTAGCCAAGGATGGCTTTGAACTGCTGACTTTCTTGCCTGAGAGCTGGGGTTGCAGGTTTGTGCCCCCATGCCTGTTAATGTGGTGCTGGGGATGACACCCCTAGCTAGACAAGCTCACTCTTTTCCCCCATTATTAATATACTGGATTTTATGCTAACGTTTGATGGCTTATTTTTTTTTCCTTCAAATTTTACTTAAGGATCATCACATACAAAGTTTTGCTAAAACAAGTGGTAGCAAACAGCAGGAAGCGCTTCTGCCTCAGCAGACTAACTTCTTTACAACCAACCAGTATCCAAGAGCTTAGGTTCCTTACACAAAGTACCCAGGGCACAAACCCCTTAGACCTAAAACGCCTCTCTGTTTCCTTAAACAGGACATGTTAGTTCTTTGTGGTGATATGTTCAGCTTTGAATACAAGTAAATATTGATAAAATATTTCAACACACTACTAAAGCTCTTCTCAGACATTCTATCTCACTCTATTAGTACTATTAATTATTCTTTGAAAGTCAGACAGCATTAATGAAACATTGGTTTACACTACTACTTTTCCGCTATCTATGCATCTTTCATGTGATCACTGCATTTTTTTCTTTATTAATTACACTTTATTCACTTTGTATCCCCCCTGTGGTTCCCTCCCTCCTCCCGTCCCAATCCCTCCTTCCTCCACCCTCTGCATGCATGCCCCTCCCCAAGTCCACTGATAGGGGAGGGATACCTTCCTTCTGATCCTGGTCAATTAGGTCTCATCAGGAGTGGCTGCATTGTCTTCTTCTGTGGCCTGATAATGCTGCTTCCCCCTCAGGGGGAGGTAATTAAAGAGCAGGCCAATCAGTTCATGTCAGAGACAGTCCCTGTTCCTATTACAATGGAACCCACTTGGATACTGAACTGCCATGGGCTACATCTGTGCAGGGATCTTAGGTTATCTCCATGCATAGTCCTTGGTTGGAATAGCAGTCTCAGGAAAGACCCCTGTGCTCAGATTTTTTGGTTCTGTTGCTCTCCTTGTGGAGTTCCTGTCCTCTCCAGATCTTACTGTTTCCCACTTCTTTCCTAAGATTCCCTGGACTCTGCCCAAAGGTTGCCCATAAGTCTCAGCATCTGCATTGATAGTCTGCAGGGCAGAGCCTTTCAGAGGTCCTCTCTGTCAGGCTCCTGACTTGTTACCTCTTAGCTCCTTCTTCTGATGTCTATCCTCTTTGCCTTTCTGGATAGGAATTGGGCATTTTAGCAAGAGTCCTCCCTCTTGATTAGTTTCTTTAGGTGTACAGATTTTAGT